CAGGTTGACTTGAGCCAAAATGGCTAGGGTGCATGAGGGGCTTGTCAGACCCCTCGGCCGAAGGCCCACCCGCTTTCTGCGGTGCGTGGAAAGGTGTGAACCGAGTCCCCTTTCCTCCAGGGATGCGCAAACATCCGAAACGTCTTTGCAGGGCTCCTCCGGGCGACGTAGCAGATTCAACCAGGGCGAGCGAGCAAGCACAGCAGCTTGTTATTGTTACATTAACACTGGTTGCGGAGGTGACACCACACTCACTGCCCTGCACACTGTTGCAATACACGCTCATACACGGTACACTGCTGCATGGTGCGACAGAGAGATTCATCGACAGTCACAAGAAAGACTTCATACTGCCTCGAAGAACGCAACTCAATGCAAGGTTTACACTTTTTTCTGGTTCCCGGACAGGAAACCTCGCTAAGCTCCAAACCCTAAACCTGCCTTGTTGAGGGGCTGCAGCCGTCACTTCCTTGATCATCTGCTCTCGTTTCATGGTCCCCATGCGGGACAAGCGCAGAGATGTCGCCATGTTCTGAAATTTACCTGAGGCGGCCAGACAAAATCGTTTCTCAGTTCGTTTACTATCAGTACTACACGTATTGTAATTGCTTTTGTTAGTGCTAGTAGCATTCGCATGACTATGACTGTAGCTATCTGTATTCTCCTACCAGTAGTATAGATTCCATCAAAAATGTAGTGACCATATGGGGATTTACGGTGCGCCCGGAAGCGCGGCAGGCGCACCCAGCGGTTCCACGCTGTGCAACTCTACTCAACATCCGATACAAGCAGTCGTAGCAACCGTCGTGGTAGAACAGCAGCGGAGGCAGGACTAGCAGCAGGAGCGTTGTGGGAGGTGGTGGTTGTGGTCGTGCTAGTGGTAGTGGTAGTGGTCGTGGGAGTGGGAGTAGCAGCACCAGCAGCAGCAGCAGCAGCAGCAGCACCACCACCACCACCGCCGCCACCACCACCGGCAATAGCTGCGGTACCAGCAGTAGAACTAGCAGTAGCACTGGCGGCAGCAGCAGTAGCACTGGCAGTAGCAGTAGTTCCAGTAGATGCACTAGCAGCAGCAGGAACAGTAGCAACAGCAATATACCAGAAGCCAACGTGAAGTGTTGTGATGTGAAGATTGAGCATCGGCATCATAAAAGCAACAAAGGTAATGACAACAAGCCGAACGAAGGCAAGGGTAACGGAAAATGACTTACTGCTGATATTGGGTCTAGGCACTTCTCATAGTTGAACCAACTGCTCCGTCTTGCAAGGCGGTGCGAGTTTGGCTCCTTACAGGATCGTTCAGGCACCGTGACAAGGATGCCATCCAGAAAAGCAGGAACCGGAAGACGTGTGCTCAACAAGGTCCTATCTGCTTGCCACGACTCCGTGCAAACTGATTGACACCACGAGAGGCAACGGCAGCCTGACAGCGCGCAACTCAGCAGCAAAGGTCACAAAGCCCATTGCACATCTGTAGACTCTGCTTCCCAAAGGCCGTGCCTCTACGCGTTGTGATCGGATGACCTGCACTGGATGCAGTGTTTACGATTCCGTCGGATATTGCATCGGACACATTGGCACGAGCCTCCGTGTCGACATTACGACTGGCAACCACCACGAGGTTGTCTTGTCCATCAGCAGCCTCCAAAACAAGCTGCTGTCATCAGATCTATTCCTACGCATCAGCATTCCAAAGTCCAAGACATCTGCGACCCAAGAAGAACAGACTCGCCTCCAGCCTGTCAATGACATCACTCGTATTGGAGATGAAGGAGGCGCCTGACGCGGTCCGCAGTTTCGAACACCTTTATGGCAGGGTCCGGACTCCAGTGAAGGCCTTTGCTCTGAAGCGCGGGCTCACCGTCTGTAGAAGCACACGTGCCCATGAGCTGAGCACAAGGCCGCAGTGATGCCGGGAGGCTATAATGACTATACTTGTGACTGGGAACATTTTCGTGACTCATGTCTTGACCCTCTGGACTACTTCGGAGCCTCGATGTCTTGCCAATGGTACTCGCATCAGAGATGTTTCTGGCTATTGGGCATCGCTACATCGAGTCTCTACCGACCCATAGGACTCAGCGTCGACACTTGAGCTGGAAGCTTGTAAGGTGCAAAAGGTGCAACTTCCGGAGAAATATGGGCCCCAGAGCATGACAATCAGCCTGTGCCGAACAAAGTCCGCCATGCACATGCCATGCTATACTTCGTCGTGAGATTCCGAGTCCTGTCCACAGGAGCAGACCAGTTCTCTTCTTGCAGCGCCTGGACCTGACTTTCAAGTACCATTTGCTGCTCACGACACTCAGAAGAATAAACCAACAGAAACAAACAATGCCTACAGTAATACATGTCCACACCTACCTACCCACATCCCTACCTGCCCGACTACCTGTTTCCCTCCTTCCACCCTCCCGATACAACCGAGCCAGAAAGAACATGTAGTCAGGTTTCAATGAATCCAAGCCCTCGAACTTGACAATACTCCCATCTAATCAGCTTCCCCCCACGCGAGAAAATTACAACTTACATGATCGTCGCCCAACTCAGTTTGTCTACGAATCGATTATGATGCAGTCCTCGGGTGAAATGAATGAGCAGCAGACCTATCCAGCCAGTGGTGCACAAACGAGTCCCAAGAGTGAAACCTCTGTTCTTGTCCTGACACTTCTTCATCTTCCTTCCTGCCTTCCTTCCTTGTTTGCTTCCTTCCCTCCCTCTGTCCTGCGTGTCTTCGTCCAGCCTTCCTTCCATGGAATGTAAGGAGGCTAATCGTGAGACTCGCACTTGCATAGCGTTTGTTGGGAGCATAGCCCCCAAAGCAGTCTCACGTCAGCAGAAAGCCAAAAGTGAAGGCTCCAGTCGCAAGTTCTATGGCAAACAGTCAGTACATCAATACGGCGAGAAACAAAATCTGACTGTCGAGTCCGGACCAGAAATCTGCACTGTCATTTCAGATCTCCCTGTGCTTGACAAGTGCGGAGTTGGTCACATCATGCACGGCAAAGAGTGCATGCACGAATCTAGACTCTAGACGGAAATGCATCACAGAATCCCAAAGCCTGCTTGTTGACCTCTTCCATGATCATCCTGAGCGGAAAGCATGGGTGGTCTTGGAACCAAGGGAACTCCTTCAAATTCCTTGCGGCCGAGCTGCTCAAGAGCCACGCGAGTGCCAGCCAGCGACACAACCTGCGCAAAGGCTCGCAACATGATTTGAAAGGTCAATTGACGGAGGGGGGGGGGGGGATTACCGAATACTCCGAATATTCCCAGCCTGCTCCGCCGCGGGACCTTGCCCAGCAGCCTCTGCGATGGAGATCTTTGCAGCACTGGTTTCCCGCAGCTGCTTGATGTTAGTGCCTCACGCCCAAACAAGAAGCTGTCGCGTTACATCTAAGTGCAGCCACTGAGATTTGCCTCCTTTGCCGATCAGACCACCCACAGCTGCCTTGGGGACCTCAACGCAAATCTTGGCTCGGTCGTTGCCATCGACACTCGAACATTGGAGGCACCGTGGCACCGTGGTCCCGACCAAGACGCTAAGTCTTAAGTCCCCCTGAGCGTCGCCAGCAGCCTCGATGACCTTCAAATTGCCACCACAAAACCCTTCTGTAAGTGAAACATTCAGTTCAGCCGACCTTATCGATGATCAGCCTGGACAGCTCCACCAACTGAGAGCTTTCCGACGCAGAAGCTGTCAGAACACGGCTATCTGTTCCTTGGTATCGGACACATGCTTCAAGACTGGCCAGCAATTGTGACGAGCACAGCAGCTGGGGACGCGTGGCCTGGAAAGAGCTCATTGTGCTCAGTGAGACTCATCTTGGCTTGTGTCCTGCTTTCTCTTGGGTGATGATTACGGCCACGCCAGAGTTGCAAAAGGCAGAAAAGAACGGGCGGCCTCTCCCGCATTTGAGCCTGAAGCTCCACTAACAATCGAAAAGCGAGGCAGGACGCAAGTTACCGGGAAGTGGCCACAGGTCATTTTTGTGGCAGCACACGAAGTCTTCATCCAAGCAGCAATAGCGGCACCGCCTTTGCCAATAATGGCAGAAGCCAATACCTGTCCGCACGGAATCGGAGGTCTTGAGTGATGCAAAGCAATGACCTGCAACGAGCAGATTAGAAACCTACCATGCGAGTCTGCAACAAGCAGCGCTCAGGATAAAGATTGATATTCCGGCAGCAGTGTCAAATCTAAGTGTCTTAAGAGTCCTGTAAAGTCCTGCCCAGAGTCTGTCTGTAAAGTTATGTGTCCCACTTGTCCCCGCGCTCGGCAGGCATACGCTTTTGCTGCAGCAACCAACTTCCGTCGGCGGGTTGGGCGGTGATGGGCAGTGGGCAGAACTGTTTGAGCAGCCATGCGTCCCTTCGTTCCACTCGCACACGCCTGTTCCTATGACACCGAGACGCTTCAAGCGCTGCTTCACTCAGCAAAACACGCGCTGCCTCAGGGGTGAGAAACTTCAGCACGCAGGGCATCACCACCTGATCTCGTGCATGAAAAGGCCCTTAGGGGAGACAGGTAGTCATCACACTTCGAGATACTGTTGCATAGTGTTACAGGACGAACTCGGTGTGGCGTCGGGCTTTGAAAGTTTCGACAGGGGGACCCCCCTCTGAATTTGTGTCTCAAACTCACTTCGGGGACCTGGGGTCATGTAAAAACACATTTACGACGTAAACCTCCGCAGGGTAACACCCAAGCTGGATAAGCTCACAAATAACCCTGACGAGCCCTCAACACACTCACCAAACAAAACCCTGATGTTAATCCCAATACCCTCTATACATACATACATACATACATACCTACCTACCTACCTACCTACCTACCTACCTACCTACCTACCTACCTACCTACTCACCTACATACATACATACATTCATTCACTCGCCGCGAAGGGGGTCCTCGCGATGCGGGCAGCTTTTTCAAGCTGGCAACTCCTTGGTTGCACGCCGTTTTAAGGCGCCCTTTCCACCTAAGCAAAAGGTCGCAGGAGCCGCTGTGAAGCATTTAGCAAGCTGAAACATTATGATGAACAAAGTTGAACATGAGGATCCAGGCAAACCACAGCCCATCTTGGCGTGTCCGCCCCATAATGATGGGCTGACAGCTCCGCGAAAGTTAAACTGCCCCGAAGGGCCACAAGCCTTGACAGGCTGAGGCATCCAAAAGTCGGTACAGGCCTTGCACAACAAGAAGGATAAAAGACTGAATACAGGTATGTAGAAAGCCCCAATATCAAGAAAAGAGAACATAGCTACTATAAGGATTGCCCTCCGACGATGCCCGTGCAGTACTTCAACTCAGCACTTCCGCACAAAGAAAAGATACGCATTTGCTTGAACCTGATGCACCTCTGAGATAGTGGCTATCGTGGCCACATGGCCATCATCCGTGACATGCCTAATCTG